AAGAACAGGCAATAAGAAACCAATGAATTCAGTGCAAGCGGTGTATGAAGAGACTACAAAAGAAAAATTGAGCATCATACACATAGAATAGAGTCAGCCTAGGTAATACCAATAACCAAGTCTCTGGAGGTTGTATGAAATTGATTTGGTTAAGCAAAGTGATAGCATCCCCTCAGGGATACATAACATGTCCTTATGCTCCTGCCTCTGGTTGGAAGGAATATGTCAAACATTGAAAAGTCTGATGTTCCTGCCTGTCCAGGAGTTGAAAATTGTGGTGGTGTCCAACACAAATGATGAAGAAACACGTAGTCAGATGCTGAAATAAAGAAACAGATAATTAATGAAAGCTCCACCAATTAATTAATTTATTAATTTTTTTTGTGCTACTGGTCTCTTGAACCCARTTATACAATAGTTTTACCTTGTTCACGTCAGCTTTTCTCTGACCCTTTCATTCTCTCAGTCCTGTACTCAGTGTGTGTCATGTTCATCTTCCCTTTCAACTCTCTTCCCAYTTTTGAGAGTGCTATTTATTTAATGCCTTATTCTTATGTGGTGGGATCTCAGTGTTAATTCAGACACTGCTGGAAAAGGATTTGGTAGCACTTTCCTCTTAGACCACTAAGGCTGATGTGTGTCTCTTCAGCTTTTTGCTGTGTATGGTGTTTTATCCGTGCCCCGCTCCCTTTCCCGGCCGCACTGTGATCTGAGAAACGCTCGTGAGGCCTCAGCCCTGAGAAGCAGCACCTGGGCCCAGCTCCTCTGAGCTTATCAGARACCATCTGCTCCCAGGAACCTGGGCTGCCTCACGAGCTCCTGTTTCTTTTATGAACAGCCTTGGAAACTCTTTTTCTTTCCTGAATAGCGTAACATCCTTGTTCTTGTACTTTGAAAGAAAGTTGCTGCCCCCACGTGCAGCCAGCATGGAACATTGATATGACTAAGGCCCGCTCACTTGGGGCCTTTAAACATCAGCCCAAAATGAGACCCTTGGGCTCTCCTGGACTGCCATGGGCTGTGACCAGCAATTTCCCTCTGAGGGTGACGCCTCTCACAGCCAGCAAACTCTTATTTGCTGCACTTGGACATCGCTAAACAACCATGGATCCTGGGCTGATACTCCCACTCCTCGAGGCTCAACCCTTTGCCTGCTGAGGAGATACAAAGGCATCCAAAGTGAGTATTTCATTGCCTTCAAGGGGAATTTTTCAYAGGTACCTTGCACTGACCCTTTATACCTGAGTGCATAAAAGTGTGCATAGCCTATGGCATTAGGGGAGGAATGCTGCTCTATTAGGTGTTTAAGTACCTTGGTTATCTAAGTAAATTAGGCCTGTGAGTAAGTTTAATTTAAATTATAAACTAACTTAAATGCTGTTGAGTGTTATTCCTTTGCTTAATTGTTAAGTTTAAGGTACAAGTTAAGTCTAAGTAGAGTGCTGTTAAGCTTTTAAATCGTATTTCTTTTTTATCTTTGCCCTTTCTATCCTTTTGTCACATTCACCTAAACACACACACACACACACACACACACACACAGAGAAAGAGTTCTTGGTTGATTTCTCTTTTGATGGATTGGATTTTGTTCATTTGTTTTTTACTCTTGGTGTGCCTTAACTGACTACGAAGTCATGGAGTGAATCTTGCCAACAAACTTTGTTGTGCTGTTGCTTAATATTAAATCTGTTTTTTACTGACACCCTTGCTGGTGATTTTTTAAGCAAACACTTGTACGTAACACTACATCGGGAAAGATGAGGTTTTTCATTCAGGTCTCTTTTTTTCCCTGTAAAATAAGTGATCTAGGAATCTGTATGAGCGTAAAATGATACCTGTAGATACACCTTTTCTGTGACTGTGGTAAAACCAGTGGTTTGCTGGTGACYCCCTTAAGCAGAAATTTCCTCTGTTTTTGGAGCAACTGATGTTAACTGCTTCCGGGCTTTCATGAACRCGCACATACTCTCACAGTGAACTGAAATTTCTGCCCATTCTGCATTTTTTAATAATGCARCGTATATATACATATATATGTGTGTGTGTAACAACCTGAAGATAATAGAATTCTCATTTTTCAATTCTGAGCTTAGTATAATGTTACAAATGTCAAAAAAAGAAGGAAAGTAATTCCATTTCATAGGATAAATGAAAATAATTCAAAGACTGAGTGTTGGTATCATCATTTTAACTTCCCTCTATGAAACAAAGATACTGTTACAAGAGATTTCACTGCTTAAGTAAAGCATGTGAAGAGAGGTTATTGAATTGGCTAGAATAAACAACAAAATTTGGTGTATATAYGACTCTTGCAACCTGTACAGCATGACAAGCACCTGTCTTTCCATATCTCAACAAACTAAGCCCTGTTGAGATGGAAGAAAAGGAATTTTGATGAAGAAACTGTGCCCTTTTAACAGATGTGTATTTTGCTTTAAGTCTCTGTCCAGTTAAATGCTCAGTTCCTGCCTTTCGTTACCACATGCACATGAAGATCTAATAAAGGCCCATCATATAACGTACCAGTTGCCAATAGGTACAGGTGCATGAATAGGTTGGTGTGTACATGTAGGGTTTCTTTTATTTCAGGAGGATGTGAGGAAGCAGCAGTAACTCTACAATGTTGACATGTTCTCCCAATTCTTAAATCATGTTCTGATGGGTATTGAAAACAGAGGTCATCACAAGTCTTCCAAAATTTCCATTATGAAAATTCCAGCTGTGCTTATGGGAATGCAAATCCAGAGAAGGATCCTGTAGCGATCTCTCATGTAGATATTTGCATTTCTTGCCTTGAGCTAAGGACTCTGATCTAATTACTGCTTTGTTACTTTGAAAAGATTGTGCTTTAGAAAATAAATGGGGACTACTGTCTCTCTTCCTCTGAATCACTCACTGATGGTTTTTTTCAATATTAAATTACAGAAACACAGAAGTGTGTCTTTAAGGGGAGTTTTGTTTCAAATTCTGGCCTCATTGTTTTACGCTACATGTGTGCAGTTTCCTAGACAATCCTGTGAGCTTTTTCCTGGATGCTCAATGGAAAGATTGACCAGACAACATGATTTGCATGATGTACTTCTGCTAGTGCTAGGGCAGGATAAGCTTTGAATTTTKTTTGTTTCCTAATTTGATTTCCTGTACCAGACATGAATCGAGCTGCCATTGCAGTTATGTAGCATTATTATGTATGGAAATAGTTCAGATATTTTAGAAAGGTGTGAATCCATGACTTTCAAACCTTCTTGAGGCTGCAAAAGGTTTAAGGTTGAGTGAACCAAACCAATCACCAGGTTATAAACAGAGCAAAGAAAAGTGAAAATGCTTACTCTGAGACAAGATGTCTGATATCACAGGATCATAATCCCAGTAACTCTCATTTTCCTCCTACTACAGGAGTTGTTATTTTCTTTCCCAGAGAAGATCCATATCAAATGTATCTTATAATTTGTCCAGTAGAACACAGGGATTTATTAGGCTATGTACAAAATGCATGTTGAATGAATTTTTATTCATATGAGAACAGTTAGTTAGCTGTTCAGTTACAGACAGAATGGTCTACTAGTAGATWAAGCCTCTGAGGTGCCTTCCAATATTTCTATCTGCCTTCCCTCTTGGATTCCCAAATGCATATCAATGAACWATTTGATTTATTCTATGCAAAGAAAGCTCTGGATGGAAGATCTACYGAAAGAGCCAGGAAAATAGCAYAGGGCCAGCTTTCAAATCTCATGTTCATAAGGAATGTGGAATAATGTAATGTAAACTAAATTATATGAGAGCAGCTGTTCAGGGTGTCCCTGCTGAATAGAGCAGCCGTGTGCCTCACAACTCAGCCAGGAGTAGGACAGCGACCACGGTTTTTGGGTTGAGCACAGCCAATGAGTTTTGCCTGTTAGTTTGGTCAGAGAGTTTTGAGGTTTATTCCTGAAGGCTGGTGATGGGACAGCAGGGAAGGGCAGAGGATGGAGCAGCCCTCCCAACATGGGTGTTTCATGGTCCTGAACTGGGAACCAGCATGTTTCATGATGCTGGCAATGCCTTGTCAGGGTGTCATTGCCATGTRCTGAATTTTCAGCAGCTCTGTTAAATGGCATAAAAGAAGTTCCTGCAAGCTGCTGCTTCAAGTCACTTGTGAAACAGTTTCTGTCATGAGGGGAAGGAAGAGTCCAACAAATTTACCCTTTGACTTGGTATTTTTTAGTTTTTAAAATACAACAGTTCTGGCACAGGATCAGATCAAATACAGACACATCAAACAGATTGACAAYATCCAAACCAGACATATTGCATCAGGATGGGCTTAGTAAACACAAGTCATATATGCTTCAGTGACAGACATTCCAAAAGTAGATAAACTCCCACTGAAGCTGAAAAGGATCAGTAAACAATAATATAGCAACRTGTTTTCTATTAGCTCTAATCACAGGATTTTGATGAGGCCTCCAATTTATCATTTTTCTGGGAACACAGATACTGATCACTGCTTCAGCTAGGGCAGGAATCTCAAATGGCCATGTCATTCTTTCTTGAATGATACTGGAATGTTATAGACATCTTTAGAATCAACAAATTTTCCTCCAGTAACAGTAATCAAAAACGATCAGTTAAGATATTGCCAAGTTATCTGGCATCCCTTAGCATCCTCATTATAAGCATGTAGTAACCAGAAAGAGCATTCAAGAACTATATTYGCAAATTAAATATGAACATACCGGTGATCAAGCAGGTCTGATCTGTTTGCATCATGAATTAGTGACTTAAAGCATTTCAAGAGTTTACATTCTAGTCTAAGTCTTGGCCTTGTTTCTCTGGACTCTTAGTAAAAGTGGTGACTTTCAAGGGAAGAAGAGTAAATAKGAGACAATTTCCGCCTTCTTCGTAATTCCATATCAGTGGTCTAATCTACTCATTTCAGCTTCTATTACTTTATACCTCTTATGGTTTCAAATTAGTTCAATTAGATCTAAACTAGAAAGTCCAGGCTAAGCTATTGTCTTTTACATGGATCTAGTTCGGGCAGGACAGTTTGTGTACTGCCAAATYCTGGCTGSCAGCTCTTGAAATTTTGGATTGCTCCAAATTAAGACCACTGTGTGTCCTGTWGGACAGGCAGCCATTACAGCTATACATATGCATTTTTCGATGCTAAAATGCGAAAAAATATTGCATAGAAGAAAAATGAAACATATAAAATATGTAATGTAAAAAATAAGTAAGGAACAGACTGATTTGATGGCTTTCACATGGGCCTCTAAGCTGGGATCTCCAAAGCCACTTGCATTATTTTGCATCTGTCTGCTGTGTACCCACAGAGACCGAATCAGYAGGACACTYGAAACAACAGACAGMATTAAAGGCAAACTTATAGCTGCRTTACASAGAAGAATKAATAAACYCAAAYTGTCTTTCCTTGTGGTTCTCATTGCTGAAGAGTTTGCCATGGAGAGWGGAGCAGTGAAGTTGAKGTGCACACYGTAGTCATCCCAGGCGAAGGGAATTGCGGTTGCGAAGGAGTAGAGCCAYGATGTGAGCATCATCCAGGGCACCAGCCTGGCAATTCTTTGCTTCAGCCAGATGAAGAAAGAGTGTGTAAAACTGGCAACCTTGATACAATAGAAGACACTAAGCCAGGCACTAAACCAGAGGCTGCAGTAGTCCAGAAACATATAGACTGTCTTGATCACTACGATATTTTCTTCATAACAGGACTGTTCACAAAATATAGTTAAGAATAAATCCAGTATAATCCAGCATTGCAAAATGATTCTGGATAAACTCAGAGAGATCATGATCATATCATATGGGGACCATGTTTTGTTCCTAATGCAGCTAGATGAACTGTCAGCCAAGATAATTCCATTTCCTAGAATTCCTGCCATGGATTCAATTATAGCAATTGATAGAAAAAGAATAGCAAAAGACGTGACCATTGTAACCCAATAGCTTGCAATTATTGCTCAGCTTCTTTTGGACTCCTGAAAGCTTCAGGTCTGCCAGGCTCTGCCTATCCGAACGTGCTGTTATGGGCATATGCTCACCTATTTATCTCAGAAGTACCATAATGTCATTTAATATTTCTGCTATTTTACATGTTGTTTTTGGGGTTGATAGCTCAGCTTATTTGTCTAAGCATKCAAATTGGATAAAGATTCAATTACGGTGTGTTCAGTTCGGCCAAGGGTTTGCTCAGCTATGGTGAAGGGATTTGACTGGGTTATGGAGCAGCTGAAATTAGGTTTTTCCATCTGCATGTTTGCATTCCATTGTCTGATGTCTTGCTTTACATGTCCAGATTACCTTTTTTATATCAGATGCCTTAATTTCTCCCTGTCTTGCGCTGTTATCATTCCTGAGTTTTGGAGATATATTTGGTATGGCTTCTTATACTCGGTCAGCTTCTTTTCCTTAATACATATTCAAATAGTGGCTGCAGACAGGATTATTGTATTTCTTTTTTGTGTATGGAGTCTTTAAAGCATTACAATTATCCTTGCTTGCTTGCTCTGAGTGTACCAAACCGGAACAATAAATTTGTAGGAAGGACAGAGATCTTACCAGAGTACTTCACTTGTCCATTTTTCACCAGTCTCCTTAAAAAAATGCAGAGTGTGCCAAAGGAATTTTAAATCTGGCAATATACAGCATTACATATGGGAGCAATGAAACAAGTATTAATCAAGTCAATGTTGCTGTCATATGGAACATGTCTATGTTAAAAATTCTGCTATACTTTCTAAAATAATTCAAACACATTCCTCATCAAAAAAGAAACAGATAAGTGGAGAGGCTTGGGTTTAGAGAAAAGGTTTCAGATTCAGGTTTTATCTGTAGGATACCACACAGAAAGAAAGAGACAAAGAAGGCTCTTTAGAAATACAGGGTCAAAAGTAGCTATCAGTAAGAAGCTGTGGACAGTGATCAAGGGAGAAATTCTAAGGCTTTTTCAAGGCTGTTTCTTTGGGTAGTCTGAATTTCCCAAAGCTTAATGTCATCTTTGATTGCCTAGGGCAGTGATCAAACCTTTTTGATCATATACCCGTAAGAATAAAATTTTGTGAGCATTCATCTCAGATATAGGTACATTTGTTTATATACTTGCTATGTATATCTCTGTATATGTTATGGACACATTATGTACAGATACTTACTATAAAACATGTCAAAATAAAGAAAGAAATAATTCAAAATCAAATAAACAATAGTTTAAAAATGAATTAATTTTGGTATTGGTACAAACTCYGTTCACACACCTTCAGTATCTTTTGATACTTGCTCTGAATGGCTTTCCCACTACCCCATCTGCAAAGTGCTTTAAATTTCTTTAAATTTCWGCTGTAAATTGCCAAGTTCCCACTTAGCAAAACTTGCAAAATAATAAAATATTTTTCGGGTTTTATATGTTTAACAAATCGGTCCAAAACCCAYAGAAGCTCTTCCTTTGGAGGCTTTTTTAATGGGTTCAGACATTCTGCTTTCAAATTTTGGAAGTCTACWTCCATGAGAATTTTTGGAAGTGGCACACTTATATATTTTTTGGCAAAATAAAACCTTTGAAAAACAGTTACTTTCTCACCCATTGTTAGAATTTCATTTTCTCCCCATAGGGATAAATAAGTGTGTTTATTTATTTGGCAGGAACTGGTGTGTAGCATCCAATTGACAGACACTTCCAATAGAAAAGTGTCAGCAAACAGCAAACRCTCTCCTTTTAGTAAAAGAAAAATGTGTAGCTGCTCTTTGAATTAAAAAAAAAAACACTTTTAAACTCATTCATTGAATCACAGAATCACRGAGTGATTTGAGTTGAAAAGGACCTTAAAGACCATCGAGTTCCAACAGCCTCCCATAGGTAGGGACATCTTCCTGTGGAGCAGGCTGCTCAAAGCCCCATTCAGCACAGACCTTGAACCCATTGCCACAAGAAAATCAGCAAATGCCAGTGTGATAAAGTGTGGGGTTTATGGGCAAGGTTTTGGTAGAGGGGAGGCAGCAGGGGTGACTTGTGTGAGAAAGGATCAGGTGTTGCCCTTGTGTGGTGCAGAACCAGTTCCTGTTACCCCAAAAGGGACCCACAACTGGCCAAGTCTCAGCCCATCTCTGATGCTGGTGACATTTCTGTGACAACTCATTTAAGGAAGGGTAAAGACCAGGGGGGAGCAGGAGTAAGAGAAGAGTGACAGAGAATATGTGAGAGAAAGAGCCTTGCAGACACCCCGGTTAGTGAAGGAGGAGGTGGACAAGATGCTCCAGGAATCAGAGCAGATATTCCCTTGCTGCCTGGAGAAGACCATGTGGATGCAGAGTGTGACCCTGCAGCCCCTGGCAGAGCCACTGGAGCAGATATCCCCACTGCAGCCTGTGCAGATTCCCCACGGCTGCAGGTGGCTGTGCCCTGAAGGAAGCTGCAGCCTGTGGAGGTCCCACCATGGACAAGGCTCCTGTCAGCAGCTGCAGCCTGTGGGGATCCCAAGCTGAAGCAGTTTGTTCCTGGAAGATGGTACCCTGTGGACAGAAAGCCCTCTGCAGTCCCCATTCCCTGTTCCCCTGGCCAGCTCAGGAAGGGAGGAGACAGAAGAGTGAAGAGGAAGGGATGGAGGGAAAAGATTTCTGCTTTTGTTCCACCTTTCTCACTTCTCTACTCAGTTATTAATGGGCAATAAATGCAGTTATTTTGCCCACATTGAAGGAATCTCCACAAAGCAAGGAAAAGCCAGTGAGAGCACTGTCAGGCCTGCAGTTCCCCCACATATGGGTGAGGATAGCAAATAAGCTCTGTGATGGTAATCAGGGACAGTCAGAAGTCAGGGATTGCCAGACACGTCCATAGTGATAAGACATTCCCAAGATCAAGCCAGTACTTCCAATCTGCAGGCCAGGATGAGAATCCAGGTCAGCCAARCATGTGGAAAGGCCCAGGCAAARCTGCAGCACAGCTCAGGAAGAGACCAAGGGTTGTGCACCCAGCTTAGAAGCAGCTCCTGAACACAGAGGRGACMACGCCCCACTGAGTGTTGCCCAAGCAAATTGTTTTAAGGTCAGCTGCACTGTGGATGTTGCCTCTGAAACMAGGCATCCAAAACRCCACAAACAAGGCCTTAATTTCACCAGAAAGTCCATTCATATCTTTTKGTTGTTTCCTGTGGGAACATACACAGAAYAGCAGTATAGCCTGGCACACAGGTTTTGCTCTTTCTTAAAATGCTGCTGTGATGAGCCCTGAAAATTGAGTCTATTGCATATCTTCCAAAATTTCAATTATGAAAATTCCAGCTGTGTTTCTGGGAATGCAAATCACAGAAGGATCGTGTAGCGATCTCATATCTAGCTATTTGCATTTCTTGCCTTTGCCAAAGGACTCTAATCAAATGATGGTCTTCTTGCTTGGAAAAGACTATGCTTTAGAAAATAAATGGGGATTGCTGTCTTTCTCTCTTTGAATTGCTCATGGATGACTTTTTTCAATACAGAAAGGTGTCYTTATTGGGAAAGAGTTTTGTTTCCGGAGCTGGCCTCATTGTTTTATGTGACATATGCACAGTTTCCTAGAAAATCATGTGAGCTTTTTCCTGGATGCTCAATGAAAAGAGGTACACGACAACATGATTTGCATCATCTCCCCTTTTGCCAGTRTTAGAGCAGGATGAGCTTTGAATTCTTTTTGCTTCTTGAGTTGATTTCCTGTGCCAGACTTGAATCAACCTGYCAGTGTGGCTCAGCAGCATTGGTGTGTGTGGAAACGGGTCAGATGTTTTAGAAGGGTCTGAATCCATGATGTTCAGCTTTCTTCAAGTTGCAAACTGGAAGGTTTTTTTAAGGTTGGGGGAACCAAACCAGCTATAAATAGGAGAGAGAAAAGTGAAAAATACATAGTCTCAGACAGGAYACATGCTATCACAGGATATTAACTCCTGTAACTCACATTTTCCTACTAGTAGAGATGCGTTTACTTTTCTTTCCCAGAACAAGCCTTTATAAAACTTGTCYCATAATTTATCCAGTAGAACATGGGGATTTAATAGACTGTGTGTAAAATGCATACTGACRATATTTTTATTCATATGACAATAGTTAATTAGTGCTTCAGTTACAAAAGAAAGGTCTATCTACCAGGAGACTGACCCAATGAGGTGCCTTCCAATATTTCTGTCTGCTTTCCCTCTTAGATTCCCAAATGCATGTCAATGAAGTGGTAACTATTTGACTTAATTCTATGCAAAGAAAGCTCTGGAYGGAAGATCTACYGAAAGAGCCAGGAAAATAGCACAGGGCYGGCTTTCAAATCTCATGTTCATGAGGAATGTGGAATAATGTAACATAAACCAAATTATGTGAGGGTAACTGTTCAGGGTGYCCCTGCTGAATAGAGCAGCCGTGTGCCTCACAACTCAGCCAGGAGTAGGACAGCGACCACGGTTTTTGGGTTGAGCACAGCCCATGAGTTTTGCCTGTTRGTTTGGTCAGAGAGGCTTTGAGGTTTGTTCCTGAAGGCTGGTGAKGRGACAGCAGGGAAGGGCAGARGATGGASCAGCCCTCCCWACATGGGTGTTTCACGGTCCTGAACTGGGAACCAGCATGTTTCATGATGCTGGCAATGCCTTGTCAGGGTGTCATTGCCATGTGCTGAATTTTCAGYAGCTCTGWTWAATGGCATAAAAGAAGTTCCTGCAAGCCACTGCTTCAAGTCACTTGTGAAACAGTTTCTGTCATGAGGGGAAGGAAGAGTCCAACAAATTTACCCTTTGACTTGGAATTTTTTAGTTTTTAAAATACAACAATTCTGGCACAGGATCAGATCAAATACAGGTACATTGCTTTAAACAGATTAACAACATCCAAAACAGATATATTACATCAGGATGGGATTAGTCAATACCAGGGTCAAGTTKTGTGTGCTTCAGTGACAGTCACTTTAGAAGTAAATAAAGCCCCATTGAAGTTGAGAAGGATCAGTCCTGATGTAACAATAATGCCCAGACACCAATCATTATTTCAGCAAGAGCAGGAAGCTCAAAAGACCATCTCGTTCTTTACCAAATCCTACTGCAGTCTGAGTCTTGGCTTTGTTTTTCTGTTGTCTAAGAGAATCAGCCGAGATTTCCAAGTAAAGTACAGCAAATAGGAGACAACTTACATAATTCTTTATAACAAGACTCACATCCAAGTAAAATAAATTTCCACTTTCTTCATGATTCCAGATTAAAGCCCTAAACTACTCATTCCAACATCTATTTTTTTTTATACCAGTGATGACTTCAATTGAATTCATTTGGATCAAAATCAGAAAGCCCAGGATAAGCCATTCTCTATCACATTGATCTAGTTCTGGCAGGACAGTTTGTGTACTGCCAAATCTTGGATGGCAACTCTTGAAATTTTGGATTGCTCCAAATTAAGACCATTGAGTGTCCTGCGGGACAAGCAGCCAATACAGCTACACATATGGATTCCCCATTGCTTAAAAGTGAAAATTCACCGCATAAGAGGAGAAGCACACAAATAAAATATATAATGTAAAAGATAATGAAGGAGCAGACTGATTTGATAGCTTTCACATGGGCCTCTAAGCTGGGATCTCCAAAGCCRCTTGCATTATTTTGCATCTGTCTGCTGTGTATCCACAGAGACCAAATCAGTAGGACACTYGAAACAACAGACAGAATTAAAGGCAAACTTATAGCTGCGTTACACAGAAGAATTAATAAACTCAAATTGTCTTTCCTTGYGGTTCTCATTGCTGAAGAGTTTGCCATGGAGAGWGSAGCAGTGAAGTTGATGTGCACACCGTAGTCATCCCAGGCGAAGGGAAGTGCGGTTGCAAAGGAGTAGAGCCACGATGTGAGCACCATCCAGGGCACCAGCCTGGCAATTCTTTGCTTCAGCCAGATGAAGAAAGAGTGTGTAAAACTGGCAACCTTGATACAATAGAAGACACTAAGCCAGGCACCAAACCAGAGACCGGAGCTGTTCAGAAAGATAAAAACTGCATTGATAATTACAAACACATTTTCTTCATAATAGGACTGTTCACAGAATACAATCATTAAGAAATCCAATATATTACAAGAGTACAAAATAAATCTAGATAAACTCAGAGAGATCATGATCATATCATATGGAGACCATGTTTTGTTCCTAATGCAGCTAGATGAACTGACAGCCAAGATAATTCCATTTCCTAATATTCCTGCAATGGATTCAATTACAGCAATTGATAGAAAAAGGAGAGCAAAAGATGTGACCATTGTAACCCAATAGCTTGCAATTATTGCTCAGCTTCACCTGTGTTGCTTCAGGTCTGCCAGGCTCTGCCAATCCCAGTAAGATGTTATGGGAACATGCTCACCTATTTATCACAAGGGCAGAAGTATCAAAATGTCATTTAATATTTCTGCTAYTTTACATGTTGTTTTTGGGGTTGATAGCTCAGCTTATTTGTCTAAGCATGCAAATTGGATAAAGTTCCAATTGCATAGTTTTCATTTTAGTGAAAGGATTTGCATTGGAAGGGTTATGGAGCAGATGAAATGTGGTGTTATTGACTGCAGGTTTGCACTGCAGTGTCTGATGTCCTGCTTTACATGACTAGTTTTGCTTCTTATACCTGATGCCTTTATCTCCCCCTGTCTTGCATTTTCGATGGTTTCTGAGTTTGTAAGAAATTCTTGCCATGTCCTCTTTTTATCCTGGGTCATCAACTTTTCTGTATCAAATTGCTGCTTCCAGGAGGATTATCACATTCTTCTCTTGTGTGTGGAGATTTTCATTGTTATTATTGTTGCATGCTTCCTCTCAATGTTCCAGAAAAGGACAATAAATTTGTAGGAAGACAAGTACAGAGAAAAGGAAAATCTCTTTTACCATAATACTTCACTGGTGCATTTTTCACAAGCCTTCTGAAAAGCTGCAGAGTTTGTCTAAGGAATTTAAGATCTGGCAATATACAGCATTACATACAGAACAATGGCACAAGTGTGAACTGAAGCACTCTTGCTCCCATATGGAACATGCTTACTTTTAAAATTTGGCTATACTTGCTAAAAGAAGTGAATCTACACTTTCCACACTCAAAAAGAAATAGGTGAGTGGGGAGGTTTGGGTTTTACATGTGCTCAGTAGCACAGAACACAGAGGAAACCACACAAAGGCTATTCAGAAATGCAGTGACTCAAGTAACTGTCAGTAGTACAGTAAGAAGTACAGTAAGAAGCTGTGCGCAGTGATCAAGAGAGAAAGTTTGAGAGTTTTTCTAGGCTGTTRCTTTGAGTAGTCTGAATTTCCCAGTGCTTAATGTAATGTATGCCTAGGGCAGTGATCAAACCTTTTTGATCATACACCCATAGGAATAAAAATTTGTGAGCATTCACCTCAGATAGACGTATATTTAAAAAGCATTTTATACATGTACTATGGTATGTGTTATATTAGGTGCATATACTAATTATAAGTCACATAAAATAAAGACTGAAATAATTCAAGAGCAAATGAACAATATTTAAAAAAAATCATTTTGATATTGATACAAGCTCTTTTTCTGTCCTCACAAAAAATATTACTAGAAATCGTTTTAGTGAGTGAAATGTGATTGGATATTTTTAATTACTGTCTTAAACTCTGGGTTTATCACTTTGTGGCATAGTGATTCAAAGGTCTGGCTCTATGTTCAGTTTCTTTTGATAGTTGCTCTGAATGGCTTTCCTACTATCCCACCTGCAAAGTTCTTTGTTGAAATTCAGCTGGTAAATTGCCAACTTCTCACTTGTCAAAACTTGCAAACTAATAAAATATTGTTCTGGTTTTATGTGTTTAAGAAATGGGTTGAAAATTTGAAGAAGCTCTTCCTTTGAAAGTTTTAAAAGCATATTAGGCATTCTGCTTCCATATATTGGAAGTCTACTTCCGCGAGAGTTTCTGGAGTTGTCATATCTATAATTTTGGCATGAAAATCTTTTGAAAAGTACTTTTGCCTTGAAGGAATAAAAGAAGTGTGTTTGGTTTTTTTGACAGAAACTGTTTTCTTGCATGCTATTGACAGACAGTCCCAATAGACAAAAGTCAGCAAATACAGAGTCCTTTCCTTTTAGTAAAAGAAAAATGTAGCTACTCTTTAAATTCAGCTCTTCAAATTTACCTCTTAAAATTCAGCTCTTTCAAGCTCACTCATTGAATCACAGAATGGTTTGGGTTGAAAGGGATCTTAAAGACCATCTAATTCCGGCCCCCTCCCATAGGCAGGGACACCTTCCTGTAGGGTAGGCTGCTCAAAGCCCCATTCAGTGCAGACCTTGAGCCGATTGCCACAAGATAACCAGCAAATATCAGTGTGATGCTGTGTGGGATTTATGGGCAAGGTTTTCATACAGAGAGGATTCATGGGTGACTTGTGTGAGAAGGGACCAGGTGTTGCCCCACTGTTGCACAGAACCAGTTCCTGTTACCCCAAAAGGGACCCACTGCTGGCCAAGACTCAGCCCATTAGCAGTGCTGGTGACATCTCTGTGACAACTCATTTAAGGAAAAGAACCAGTGYGGTGCAGCTGTGAGAGAGAGGAGTGAGAGAAAATATGTGAGATAAACACAGCACCCACAGTTTGCGGGTTGAACACAGTCCATGTATTTTGCCTGTTGGTGTGGTCAGAGAGGTTTGAGGTTTGTTCCTAAAGGCCRGTGAGGAGACAGCAGGGAAYGGCAGAGGATGGAGCAGCCCTCCCTACATGGATGTTTCATGGKCCTGAACTGGGAACCAGCATGTTTCATGGTGCTGACAATGCCTTGTCAGGGCRTCATTGCCATGTGCTAAATGTCTGYCATCTCTGATAAATGACATAAAAAATGTTCATGGATGCCACTGCTGTYACCAGTGAAACAGTTTCTGTCATAAAGGGAAGAAAGAGTTCAACACAAATTATTCTTTGACTTGGTATTTTTAAAGTTTTRAGTCAGGCACTGACTCAGATCAAATACAGGTACATTGTTTCGAACAGATTGACAACACACAAACCATCAGAAAGGGGCTTAGTGAACACAAGGCTCAAGTCATGCATGTTTTGGTGACAGTCACTTTAGAAGTAAATAAAATCCCACTGCAGCTGAAAAGAGTCCTGAAGCTCCAATCCTGATGTAACCATAAATGCAGTGACAGTGACCACTACTTCAGCAGGAATAGGATGCTGGAAAGGCCATATCATTCCCTCCTGAATCATACTGAAATGTTGTAGACACCTTTGGAATCAACAAGTATTTTTCTAGAGTTCAATTGTAGTAAAAAATGATCAGTAAGATATTCCATAATCATTGGGAAATCCTAAGCATCCTCATGAGGAGCTTCTAGTAAGCAGAAACAGGTTTCAATTTTCATATTCACAAAAAAACCCCCAAAAAACAAAAACCAAAAAAACATGCCTGTGCTGAAGCAGATCTGTTCTGTTTGAATCACGAATTGTAACTTAAAACATTTCAAGTGATTGGCCATGTTTTTCTGCTGTCTCAGAGAAATAGTGGTGATTTCCAAGAAAGTACACCAAATAGGAGACAACTTACAMAACACTCACATCCAAGTAAAGCAAATTTCTACTTTTTCATTATTCCAGATCAGAGCTCTAATCTACTCTTTCCAGTATCTATTATTTTATATGTCTGATGATTTTGACTTAGTTTGATTGTATCTAAACTAGAAAGTCCAAGCTAAGCTATTGTCTTTTACATGGAACTAGTTCTGACAGGACAGGTAATGTGCTGCCAAATCCTGGTTGGCAGCTCTAGAAATTTTGGATTGCTCCAAATTAAGACCACTGAGTGTCCTGTGGGACAGGCTGCCATTACACCTACACACACAGATTCCCCATCACTTAAATGTGAGAAACCACTGAATAAGAGGAGAAGCAAGCAAATAAAATATATAATGTAAAGGATAAGGAAGGAACAGACTGATTTGATGGCTTTCACATGGGCSCCTAGGCTGGTGTGTTGGTTTTRCTTGGCCCAGTTTTTGGCAGTGGGGGGCCAAAAAGATGGCTCCTGTGAGAAGCTTCTGGAGACTTCCACCATGTCCAGCAGAGGCAATTGCTGTTGGCTCTGAGGATTATGGACATGCCACTGACCAAACCTGGGCCA